GATTGCAAAGCCAGTGCTCTACCACTGAGCTATGCCACCCTCAGAAGATAAAAAGAATGAAAAGAAGGAAAAGAGGACTGGAGGAAACAGTACGTGTAGCTAACGAAGAGGAGAAGGAATTCTCGGACACACATACACACGCACCTTTATAGCTTATCACATACACATACAGATAAACCAGACGATAAAACTGACGGATATAGACAAGCAAACAATGAAAATAAACGAATGTGGGGAGGGCCTATATTCTAATATTTTTGATATCTATATACAATAAGATCCACCGTATTCATATGATCCCGTGGCTACGTCTTTTCACTCACTCGCAATGAACTCATGTCTATTAAACAGCTAGATGTACTGAACCTTAAAATTACCTTCTGTATTATCTCAACAAACACGGAGCTTCAAGGTTTATTGACGACAGAATATATTTCCATGACTTATTCATGCAAATCTTTATGCATTCGCTGTAGAATACGTATGAATTAATCGAATATTTCGTGGCTAGGACGATCCAATTCGAAACAAATGGAGAACTAACTTTTCCTTACGTCAAGGGAAGTTTTTCTTACGGATTCAAGCGCCGGAAAAAAACACCTTTAGTGTGATGTTGATATTATCCTTATCCTTATCATTATCATTATCATCACTTTCATCAAAATAGGAAAATATCACGAAACCCCTTTGTATAATTATTTTCATCATAGTTTGCGTTAATTTACAGCTATCATTGCTGTTGATGTTAACATACTACATTATTATTATAACTATGTTATTATTATGTTATTCTTATTCTTATTCTTATTTTTTCTTATTGTTATTATTGTCTATTATTATTATCATTATTATCATTATTATTATTATTATTGTTATTATTATTATTATTATTATTGTTATCATTATCATTATTATTATTGTTATTATTATTATTATTATTATTCTTGTTACTATTATTATTATTATCCTTATTACCATTATCTTTTTATTATCATTATTATTATTATTATTATTATTATTATTATTATTATTGTTATCATTATTATTATTATTATTATTATTATTATTATTATTATTATTATTATTATTATTATTACTATTATTATTATTATTATCATCATTATTTATAAATTATTATTGTCATTATTATTATCATCATTATTATCCTATCATATAATTATACTATTATATGATAATAGTAACAACAACAATAATAATCATATTAATGATAATGATATTAATAATGATAATAGTAGAAGTGATGATGAGGATAATTAATAATAATAACGTATACGTGACATGCCCACTGTGAGTACTGCCTGTCACGCCCGTTTACCCTTTTCTTTAATTTACGAAAATATTTTACGTTATCTAATTTTGCTATTATTATTGTTTATAAAATTATAGTAATTATAATGTTTATTATAAAAATAACATCATCGATATTCATAGCACTAGTAAAAAATACATTTCCCCGCAAATTCAAGGGAAGGTGAAACCAGGTAAGGCAGAGCCATCTATATGTAGAGACATTTCACGAAAGATATAAAAAATGAGCACAGCATTTTCCCTATTTTTGTTCATTTTCCCCATCGCGAATAGGTTAATAATGATAATGATAATAATGATAATAATAATAATAATGAAAATAATAATAATAATTATAATAATGATAATAGTAATGGTAATGATAATATTGTTAATAATGATCAATATTAGTATTAACGACAATAATGATAATAAAGACAATAATAATAATAATAATGAAAATAATAATAATTATTATAATAATGATAATAGTAATGATAATAAAAATATTGTTAATAATGATCAATACTAATAGTAATGACAATAATGATAATAATGATAATAATAATAATGATAATACTGATGGTAATAATAATAATAATGATAATAATAATAATAATAATAATAATAATAATTATAGAAATAATAATAATAATGATAATAATAATAATAATAATAATAATAATAATTATAGAAATAATAATAATAATGATAATAATAATATTAATAATAAGAATGATAATGAAAATGATAATGATAATGAAAATGATAATAATAATGATAATAAGGATAGTAATAATAATGATAATAATAATAATAATAATAATAATAATAATAGTAATAACAGTAATAATAATAATAATTATGATAATAATGATGATAACATTCGGAAATATGATAACAATGATATTAATGAAAACAGTATTAATGAGAAAGTCTTTGTCATCAAAGTAATTAATATATATATATATATATATATATATATATATATATATATATATATATATATATATATATATATATATATATATATATACATATATATATATATATATATATATATATATATATATATATATATATATATATATATATATATATATATATAGAGAGAGAGAGAGAGAGAGAGAGAGAGAGAGAGAGAGAGAGAGACAGACAGATAGATAGATAGATAGGTAGATAGATAGATAGATAGATAGATAGTTACCCCCTCCCTATCCTCCTCCACCCACCTCCCCCCTCGATGCTTTTGAAACCACCTCGTTTTGTATTCTTCTAATGTTTTTGTTGTTGTTTGTTTTTTGTTCGTTGTTGGTTTTTCGTTTCCGCTCGATCGGGAAAATCTAATTAAAAAAGTTATAATTGACAGAGGATGAAGTTGTTTGTGATACATTTTTTTTCATTTTTTTTCTTTTTCATCCCACAAGCTTTTATTTTTATCTTATTTCATCCTTTTTTTTACTTTTGCTACTTTCCGTTGACTATATTCAACACATATCACAAAAAATAAATTGATAACATTAACAAAAAACGAAATGTGAAATGGATTAATAATTAAAAAAAATCGAAATATGAAATGAATTAATAATAATTAAAAAAACAAAAAAACAAATATGAATTGTTTAATGACTTCGGGAACAAAATCACAAATGTACCTTCGTGATAAAGTTGGAATCATCTAGAATTATCAACTGGAAAAGAGCTGTGTCATCGCACATAGTAATAAATCACAGTTGGCAAGAGATAATGCTTTCAGTTTCTCTAACAAAATGGGAGAAAGAAGATTGTGAAAAAGGGATATAAGATAGAGAGAGAGAAAGAAAGAAAGAAAAAGAGAGAGAGAGTGAGAGAAAGAAAGAAAGAGAAAGAGAGAGAGGAGAGAGAGAGAGACAGAGAGAGAGAGAGAGAGAGAGAGAGAGAGAGAGAGAAGAGAGAGAGAGAGAGAGAGAGAGAGAGAGAGAGAGAGAGAGAGAGAGAGAGAGAGAGAGAGAGAGAGAGAGAGAGAGAGAGAGAGAGAGAGAGAGAGAGATAGAGAGAGAGAGAGAGAGAGAGAGAGAAAGAGAGAGATGAAGAGAAACATAGAGATAGACAGATAGATAGATAGATAGAGAGAGAGATGGAAAGAAAGAGATTGATACAAAAAGTGATATCAGCATTTTCTTCTTTGAAAGGGAAGGATGATCATTAATTTTAGCGACAGGTTGCGAAAGTTAGTGGGGCGGAGCTACGTTTTTGAGACCGTGACCTTTTTCAGAGTAAAGGGTTCAAAAGAGAAGTGAAGAAAGAGTGATATACATATACATAAATACGTACACACACACACACTCACACTCACAATCACACACACACACACACACACACACACACACACACACACACATATACATATAAATAAATAAATAAATAAACAAATAAATACACACACACACACACACACACACACACACACACACACACACACACACACACATACACACACACACACATATATATATATATATATATATATATATATATATATATATATATATATATATATATGTATATATATATATATACATATACATATATATATATATATATATATATATATATATATATATATATATATATATATATATATATATATATATATATATATATATATCACGCACACACACATCCATCAATTAATCTATGTATGTATGTCTATAATGATTACACTAAGCTGAAGGTGCAACGAATAACATTATGTGCATGACGAATTTATAATCACGAAGGAAAATCCCTTAATCATGAAGGTATATGTCCTTGAGTTTCGCCCTGAAGTTCAGTCACATTTCTTTCGTTTTAATATATGAGCGTCGTGCTCGCTGGGTCCGATCCGAAATCTGGCAGGAGGCGCAGCAGAAGGCTCGGCACTCGTCTCATAAACCCTTCCTCAGGTGGTTCTTGTTCCCTCTCTCGCGGTCTGTAATTTGCTCCTGGCGTTTCTCTGTCTTCGTTTTCTTTCCTTTTTTTTGTCCCTATTGTTGATGCTGCTTTTATATTTCATTTTCGTTTTCGTTGGACATTTAACATTATTATTTAATGAATTACCATTAGTAACATCAAAATGAAAATCAACATTAACAACAGCATTAATATGAACATCATCTTTATCACACCATCATCATCATTTTCTCTTTTCTCCTCTCTGCTTCTCATCTCCTATTTTGATGGACTCACTATATCCAGATTTAATAGACACCATACAAACTACCTACGATAATCTACTTAATACTATACAACACTATCCACAATAACTATTTTTTTTAAACACCATACAGAACCATCTACGACAGTCCATACAAAACAACTACTATGATACATTTACTAGACACTATACAAAACCATATCTACAATAAATTACTAGACACAACTACGATAACCTACTCAACACTATACAACACTATCCACAATAACTATTATCATTTTTACTAAACACCATGCACCATTTACGACAATCCAAAACAAACCATTACGATATATTTACTAGACACAATACAAAACCACATACGAATCTACGATAATTTACAAGGCCCTGTACAGAACCATCTACGATAAATTACTAGACACCCTACAAAACCATGTACGATAATTTACAAGGCACTCTACAAAACCATATACGATACTTGGCCCTATACACCACATCTGAATACATTTCTTTCCAG